GATCTTCGTCCCTCGGCGGGGAAACACCGCAGATATTGGTGTTGTAGGAAGGCACCAACTATACACCAACACCGATCCTGGCCAGGATCACCCTGGGCCCAGGATCAGTGTATACGCCCTCCTGCCTTGCGCAAGAAGGCATATACACCGATCCTGGGCCCAGGGTGATCCTGGGCCAGGATCGGTGTTGGTGTATAGTTGGTGCCCTCCGAATATTGGTGTTGGTGACAACTTCTGGGCCTGCGACCGCAACGATTCTTCGTGAGTGGAGTCTCATGCGCAGCCCCCGCCCTCGAGCCCCGGGCGGGGCTGTTCCCGGAGGCGGCGACCGGGCGCGCGAGGCCCCCCCGCCGAGTCCCGAACGGCGGGCTCTCCTGGCCCCCTTGCCCCCGTCCACTTCCTCATCTGCCTCTCTCTCTCTCTCTCTCTCCTCCCTCCCTCCCTCTCTCTCTCCCTCTCTACTCTCTCCCTCCCTCCCTCTCTCCCTCTCCCTCCCTCCCTCCCTCTCCCTCTCTCCCTCTCTCCTCTCCTATCTCTCTCTCTCTCCTCTCTTCTCTCTCTCTCTCTCTCTCTCTCTCTCTCTATATATATATGTATATACGTGTATCCCTCTTTTTCTCGTTCTCTCTCTCTCTCTCTCTCTCTTCCTCTCTCTCTCTCTCTCTCTCTCTCTCTCTCTCTCTCTCTCTATATATATATACATATGTATCTCTAGGCCCTGGCTTTCTAGTAGCGGGCAGGCGCTCAAGTCGTTCCAGGGGGCATCGTTGCAGAGCCGAGTTGGCGCATCCAGCATCTTTGCCGAGAGGATTCCTCCTTCTCCTGCTCCCCATTTTCCCCTCCTACTCCTCCTCCTCCTCCTCATCATCATCATCCTCTTCCTCCTCCTCCTCCTCTTCCTCCTCCTCCTCCTCCTCCTCCTCCTCCTCTTCATCATCAGCAGCAGCAGCATCACCACTACCACCAACAACAACAGCAAGAACAACAATCATGTTCAGACTGTTCACACTTATCTGCCCGCGTGCCATTCAACACGTACATCCCAAACACTCAATACCCACCCGATTCGACTTCGATCCTACCCCCTTGGGGGCCAGGGGCATACCTTTCTCACCTGCAACGTGTATTTTGTGCAGCCCTAAGGCAGGGGAAGAGAGGACAGATGGAAGGAAGGGACAAGAGGCAGGCGGGTTGCTGAAGCGTGCATCCTGCATGAATCGCGCGGAAGTCTCGAGCGACAGCGCGATTCCCAAATAAATCGTGAGGAAATCCAAAACGAGAGCGTTGTCGAGGGCGCGGCGTTTGAATAAATTGCGAGGAAGTGCCACACGAGAGGGCGATTCCTGAATAAGTTGTGAGGAAGTCCCGCGCGAAAGCGCGATTTGGGAGTAAACTGCGAGGCAATATCAGGCGGGAGCCGTTGTTGTTTTAGTTCTGGGGCCAACAAAGCAGTTTGGTGATCCCACACTTTCCCTTGTAAAAAACAGGGTGCCCAGAGGGGGGGATCGACAACAAGAACAACGACAACGGCAAGAACAACAACAATAACAAGAACAAGAACAAGAACAACCACAACAACAACAAAAACAATAACAATAACAATAACAACAATCACAACAGCAGCAGCAACAACAACCACAATCACAACCACAATCACAATCACAACAGCACCACCACCAACAACACAACAACAGCAACAGCAGCAACAACAATAACAACCACCATAACAACAGCAGCAACAGCAGCAACGACAGCAACAATCATTGTCAGGCTGCTCACACTTATCTGCTCGCGTGCCACTCAAAATGTATATCCCAGAAACTTGGTACCCGCCATCTTCGTCTTCGACCATAGCCCCCGGGGGCATGTCTTCCTTACCTGCCGCGTGTAAGTAGCGCAGCCCCTAAAACAGGGGAAGAGAGAACGGATGGAAGGGGGAGGAAGAAGGATGGAGCACGGGGTTAGCAGGAGGTGGGCTAGGAGCAGAAAACACGTGGCAGAACCAAACGGGCCCATCGACCCAATCGGGGGGGTAGACACTGACGGACGGGTCAGGAAGGTGGGCCCAAGCGGCCAGGTCGAGAAGGCGTGTTGCTGAAACGAGGGTACTGCATGAATCGCGAAGACAGCTTGAGCGATAGCGCGAGTCCCGAGTAAACCGTGAGAAAGACCAAAGCGAGAGCGTGATTCCAGAGTGTCAAGGGCGCGGCGTCTGTCGAGGGCGCGGCGTATGAATGAATTGCGAGGAGGTCCCACGCGAGAGCGCGATTCCTGCAAAGCTGTGAGGACGTCCCGCGCGAGAGCGCGATTGTGGAATAATAAACTGTGCGGACATATCAAGCGGGAGCCTCTGTTGTTGTGACCCAACAACACAGTTTGGTGGCACCAAGCTTTCCCTGACCAAAGAAAACAAGGTGCGAGCCCTATTCAGCAATTCAATGGAAAAAGCACTGGTCACCAGAGGGTTGGGATCAAGAACGATCATGCTGTAGACTATCATTTAGGAATGAGAGCTCAGTAGCAACATCAACGACGACAACAGCAGCAGCAACAACAACCACAACCACGAAAACAACAACAGCAGCAGCAACAACACCAGCAACAACATCAACAACAACAGAATCACCATCATCAACAACAGCAGCAACAACAGCAGCATCAGCAACATCATCATCATCATCATCATCATCATCATCATCATCATCATCATCATCATCATCAACATCAGAATCATCATCATCGGCAGCAGGAGCAGCAGCAGTAGCATCATCATCAGCAGCAGCATTATCATCGTCATCAGCGGAAGCAGCAGCATCAGCATCATCAGCATCGTCGTCATCAGCATCATCATCGTCATCGTGGTCGCCATCATCGTCATCGTCATCGCCGTCGTCATTGTCATTGTCGTCATCACCACCAGCATCAACATTAAAATCATCACCCTCATACTCAACAACAATCATGATGACAACAGCATCAGCATCCTCATTACCATCATCATCATCATCATCATCATCATCATCAGCATCATCATCATCATCATCATCATCATCCCCCTCCCCCTTCTCCTCCTCCAAGTCCTCATCATCATCAGCAGCATCATCAGCATCATCATCATCAGCAGCAGCATAATCACCATCATCATCATCATCATCATCATCATCATCATCATCATCAGCAGCAGCAGCAGCAGCAGCAGCAGCATCCTCTTCCTCCTCCTCCTCCTCCTGCTCCGCCTCCTGCTCCGCTTCCTCCTCCTCCTCCTCCTCCTCCTCCTCCGCCTCCTCCTCCTTTTCCTCCTCCTGCGCTTTCTCCTTCTGATCTCTGCGAGGGACCCCCCAAACCCAGGCCCGCGCGAGAGGCAGAGGCGGGAAGGGCGCAGGGCACAGCCCAGGCAGGCCATGCTGAAAAAATCCACACGAAACCATATCCGAGGCACACCTCTGGGCCAATGTGCTCAGACGTCTCGAGGTGCCCCCAGGTCTGCAACTCGATTCGCTTCCGGAGGGGGGGGGGGGGCGCGGGGGGAGGAGAAGAGGGCAGGAGGGGCAGGAGGAGGGAGGAAGGGCAGGAGGAGGGAGGAAGGGCCGGAGGGTCCAGGGGCTGGGGGCGCACAAGGTGCAGGAGAGGCAGGGGGCGCACAAAGTGCAGGTCTGGCAGAGCACCCGCGAGGGGGTCGCTCCCTTGCTCGCGACACCCTCTCTCGGGGGGGGGGGGGGAAGGCGGCCGGCACGACCAGTGGGGGGAGGGGGGGGGGAGGCATCGCGGAGAGGTCAGCTGTTCAAAGCAGAGGCTGTAGCCGTCAATCAGCCTCGGCAGGGGCGTCCGAAACACCGACGGCCACGGGCTCTTGAGCAGAAGCCGACTCGCGACTCGCAGCTGGCAGACCTGCGATACTCTCCTTGCCTTGCCCCTCCTCCTCCTCCTCCTCCTCCTCCTCCTCCCTCCTCCTCCCTCCTCCTCCTCCTCCTCCTCCTCCTCCTCTCCTCTCCTCCTCCTCCTCCTCCTCCTCCTCCTCCTCCTCCTCCTCCTCCTCCTCCTCCTCCTCCTCCTCCCTCCTCCTCCTCCTCCTCCTCCTCCCCCTCCTCCTCCTCCTCCTCCTCCTCCTCCTCCTCCTCCCCCCCTCCTCCTCCTCCCCTCCTCCTCCTCCTCCTCCTCCTCCTCCTCCTCCTCCTCCTCCTCCTCCTCCTCCTCCTCCTCCTCCTCCCTCCTCCCTCCTCCTCCTCCTCCTCCTCCTCCTCCTCCTCCTCCTCCTCTCTCTCCTCCTCCTCTCCTCCTCCTCCTCCTCCTCCTCCTCTCCTCCTCCTCCTCCTCCTCCTCCTCCTCCTCTCCTCCTCCTCCTCCTCCTCCTCCTCCTCCTCTTCCTCCTCCTCCTCCTCCTCCTCCTCCTCCTCCTCCTCCTCCTCCTCCCACCGTAGCCATTTTGGCTCAAGACTGATGCTTTCGCTGGCTGAGCCCGCATTGGCAGAACTGGATACCGCTAGTCCGCGGCAGCAATCAATTCTCACGGAGGTCCCTCGGTCGAGGGGTTCGCTAGCCTCCACTCACGTTCACTCATGGCCCCTGATGGCTGGCGCAGCGGTGGTGGGAAGCCTCGTCAGCAGTACCAAGACCCGTGCCCGCACTGCAGGTACCGCTGAAACTTCAAGAACAACCACCGGTGCTTCCAGTGCACGGGGGCTCTGGTGGCGCAGCCTGATGGTTCGAAGCGCCCGCTTGGGCAGTGGGCTTTTGGTCCGCCTCAGATCTCGGACTCGCCGTTCCACGCTCAGCCTGCTGGGTCTCCCTTCGCCGACCCGACGCCGTCGCAGGCGGCAGCGGCAGCCGCCGCGGGCTCAGGCAAGGGGCGCGGCAAGAAAGGCGCTCCTCCGCCGCCGCGTGGGAAGGCCAAGGCTAAGGCCGCCGCCTCCGCGGGCCATGTCGACAGGCGCCCGTGGGTTTACCACCGGGGCTGGTACCCGTACGGCGGCGCAGCGGATCCGCCCGAGCCAGCCGGTCCGATGGCGGCCCTTCGGGCCAAGCTTGGCGACGACGGCACCGAGGAGCTGGCAGCTGTGGAGGCGCTCCTCGCCAAGAAGGAAGCCCCGCCTCCTGCTGCACCGCGGCAGCCGCTCCCTGAGGAGGACGTCTCAGCCAAGGGGGTGGCGCACCGTCGGGCCAAGTCCTGGCTCGAGCGCTGCTCTCTCAAGGTCTTGGAGGGCGAGGCCCGGCTGCAAGAGGCGCGTGCTGCTGAAGACCTTGCGGCCACGGCGGCTGTCGAGGCCAAGCGCTCGTGGGAGGAGGCCTGTGCGAAGCAGCTTCCTCAGCCAGCGGCGGCGCCACCCGCTGCTGCAGGCGCATCGTCGCTCAACTTGTCCACGCTCCTTGGCGAAGACAACGAGGTCGAAGGGCTCACCATCGTCGACGGTCCGATGTTCAGCACGGAAGGCCTCGACCTCGACCCTGCGGACCTTCGCGAGTGGGAGCGCGTCAAGACCAACCTTGCGGCTGGCATCAAGGCCGAGATCTCCAAGGCGCTCGGCTCTTCAGCGGAGCAGCTCGCCACTCTGCGAGCGGAGGCCAAGCAGGTGTCCTTGCGGACGCAAGCGAAGCGCAGGCGTGGCGATAGCGCAGGTGATGGCGCTGGCGCGAGTGCTTCTGCTCAGCCTGGTGGGACGGCCGCCGCATGCTCCGAGGGCGACGGCGGCGGCGCTCCTACAACCGGTGCCGCTGACGGGCCTGGAGAGGTTCGAGCTGCTGCCAGGCGCACCGCCAAGGTGTCCTTTGACGCTACCCGAGCAGCGCAGCAGGGACTTTAGCAGGCCCACCTACCTTGGCTTGCCGTCGCCCTTCCACGGTGACATCTTCATGAGCGCTGCGGAGGAGCTCGCCTTCGATCCGCAGTCGTACCAAGCCAGCCCCTACAAGGTCACGCTGTACGGAGGGTGCCCAGCGCCGCAGTATGGCGACATCTTCCTCACTGAGGCGGAGGAGGCTCACTCACTCCCCGTCTCTCAGACCTGGCCAGGCATTCTTCAGCTTAAAGATCAGGATCCCCAACGTCGAGCTGCGATTTACCATCGTGAAATGCTTGAGCGAAGCCTCCGCTCCTTCACTGCCAGATGGGTCCCTGATGTTAGCTCAGCTAACGAGGCTTCGGACGAGGCCCACTGGAAGGGGCATTGCATTCACTTCGTCTCGACGTGGTTGTCTCATCCTGCGCTTAGTCCGCTCGTTTCAGAAGCAGCTGCTGCAGCGGGCCATGGGAATCCTGCCATTGCCGCTCCTGATATGGCCAGGCGCATCTGCGAGCGCGCTTGGCGCGCTCGGCGCAGCCAGCGAGCTCGCTATTTGCAGATGCTGCGGGACTTAGAGACCGAAGATTACGATTCGTGGCAGGAGGAGCTGCAGCGGCAAGCGATTGCGCTCATGGAAGCTCAGGAGACCCTCGACACACGGGCGCCGCAGCGGCGTGTGCAGGGTGGCTTCCAGGTGGTACTTCCCTTCTGCGGGCGTCCCCACCTTGCAGCGCCGTCAGAGCCTGCTTCTTACATCTCCTGCACGGAGCCGCCCAGTGCGCGCGTGCAGATGCCTTCTCAGCACAGCCAGGCGGCACCGTCCCCTGCCGCTGAGTTGACGACTGCTTGGGCTTCGTCGACACTCTCCTGCACGGACGAGGGTACACCCCCCGTGTGGATGCCCGACCGAGACAGTCAGGCGGCCTGCGCCCCTGCCTTCGGTCGGACGACTGGCTGCGCGAGCTCTTCGGCAAGTTCGTGGCCTTCTTCGTCTTTGGGCGAGGGGCACAGGGATTCAGCCCCTGATCGTCAGAGCCCCTCGCCCACAGGAGCTGCGGCTACTGGCAGTTCTGCTTCAGCTTCCGCGCCCCGTTCGGGTTCGGCCAGTTTTGCGAGGATTACCACCGGTGCTTCGATTGCCACGAATGGGTCTCAGGAGGCGTCTACAGGATGCTCTTCCAGAACGGGGAGGATTTCCACGGGTGCTTCGATTGCTCCGTCCTCGACTCAGATGGCATCGGTGCCTGAGGTTGTGGGTCTTGCGTCTGGCTGGGACGACGCAAACCACGACCCCTTCGATGACCTGGACCACATGTTGGATGCGGAAGCGGCAGATTCAACCGACGCCGTGCCCACAGTTACTGAGGGTGCCGAGGGGCGGCAGCCTGCTGCTCCTGACGCCCCTGGCCGCCCTGCAGACCCCCTCCGCCCGTCTGCTTCAGATCGGTCCCCATGGGTTAATGGAGGGGAACGTCTCAGGAGCGTGCCCGCAGCTGCTGAGGACTCTAAGTTATTGGAGGATGCTGCCCCAGTTCCACAGCTCCCAGTACTGCATAAGCTTTCTGGGCGGCCTGATCTGGTGGCTCCTCTTGCTGCAGATGATGTTTCATTTTCTTTTCTGTATGGTAATATTTCAGAATGGGGTCCACAGGCTCGCAAGTTTCTTAACACCACCTCGTTCGCCATGGTGTGCTTCGTGGAGATGCACGCGTTACAGTCCAGGTTTGCCGACGGCGTTGACCAGACCTTTGATGCTGACGGGTGGGAGACGGCTTTACACGGGCAGCAAGGCGACAGGCAAAGGATGTTCTTCTGGCGGCGAGCTTATTGCTATCCGCAAGTACCTGGCCTCCACCAGCTTTCAAGGTTTTCGCCGGGCTGCAGTCAGGCATGGCAAGGCTGATCCATGCCGAGGGTTTGCACCCATGGTCCTGCACCTCAGCAGCGGCAATGTCGTCATCGTGGCCATTTATCTCTGGCATGGACTAGCTACTTCAGGCCACAACCAATCTATTTTGATCAGCTTTGGGGCTTTTCTGTCGGCGTTAGCCGACCCCTGGATTGTTGTTGGCGACTGGAACCTGGAACCTACAGCATTTCTGCGTTCAGGATGGCCTTCGAAGTTGCAGGGCGAGATTTTGTATCCTGACGTGAAGGCCACCTGCGACAAGGCGGCTCAAGGTACATTGATCGACTATGGCTTGGTCAAGCAAGGCACCACAGATCGCTTTCGCATGCGAGGTTTGGCGTCAGTTCCGTGGAAGACGCACATCGCCTTGCAGGTCGACATCCTTGGGTCCAGACAGAGGTGGTGGCATCAGCGCCTCGCCACGGCACCAGCCTTCCCGAAAGCGAGTCGTCCCAAAAAGCAAGCGGACCCAATCAGTAAAGCCTCCATTAAGAAGCAGGAAGCGCTTGCGCAACGTCGGGCGAAGCTCCCTGAAGATCTTCAAGCTGAATTTGGTCTGCTTCACAAACCGGCGACGGCCACGGCAGCAGAGGCTAACTCAGTCTCGTTTTATCTTCCCGAAGAGGTTTGGCCCTGAGGCACTATTGCTGTTCCACCGCTCGGGGAGACCAGCCGACGCACGCTGAAGCAGCACTTCCTTGGGGACATTAATGCATCGGGCTCGTCGCAGCTCACCAGCAGGCACAACACCTGGATCACCAAGATGGAGATGGCCTTCAGCGCCCACCATCAGCAGGAGGACTTCGAGCCTCTGCGTGGAGCAGGTCCCCTGCTCAAGTGGCAGCTGTCGCAGGCTGCTCCAGGCCGCGCTCATCTCTCTGACCCAGTGGGCGAGCAGTGGGGCATTGTGCACACGCTGGTATTACGGACGGCGTCGTTGGCCAAGCATGGGCGCGACCCCAAGCAGCTGTCCGATTGCTTTCAGCAGCTTCAGCGGCATGTTGCGCATTTTCAATCATCAGACACTGCTGAGTATTTTGGCACATCTGGTCAGGAGGAGCGTGATCGCTGGCTTTGTTGGTCGGCCACTATACCCTCCGCCAATCATGACGAACTCGACGACTGGTCACATTTGACGGAAAGGCTTGCTCATCGCGCGCAGGCTCGCTCTCTCACAAAGGGCAAGCACCAGTTCACCACATGGGCCCTTGAGCAGTGGCGTCAACATCCTGGACGTCTTCATCCGACGGCTCGTGACCCTCAGCCCGTGGCGCATGAGAGTTTTCGTCGTGGGCAGGTTATCTCGGAACCTTCGGAGTTCATGGGCGACAAGCTGGAGGCCTGGCGACCCTTGTGGACTGACGCTGTTGACGACGCTGAGGCCGTCACCCATATGCTGCAGCAGTTGCATCGCGAGTCTCTGCAAGACCCCTTGCCTCCCTTGGAGTTGGCGTCTTTGGAGCGCGTGGTGGCCAAGCTTCCTGCTAAGGCCTCAGGTGTCGTTGCTCTCACTCCTCTTGATTTTCAGAGGGCCCCCCCCCCCAAGGCCGGGTGGAATTCTTGAAGTTGCTTGACCAAGTTGAGCAGGAAGGAGTCTGGCCAGCGCAGTTGCTCAGCACAATTTGCGCTCTCCTTCCCAGACCCGAAGGAGGGAAAAGGGTCATTGGGCTCTTAGCTGAACCCGCTAAGATCTGGAGCCGCCTGCGCTATGGTGCCACCTCAGAGTGGACTGAAGGTCTGGGGGCGCACTGGGACACTGCCATTGCAGGCAGCAGCGCCTGACGCGCCGCTCCCCCGAGGACTCTCCTTGACGAGACGGCGACGGCGCCGGGCATCACGGTGGCCACGTGGCTGCTGGACTTCGAGAAGTTCTACGACTCTCTGTCCTGGGTCCTTTTGGGCTGCGCTGCGCAGCAGTTGGGCTACCCGCCCATAGTGGCATGCCTGGAGGCGCAGTTATGCGCTGGTTCTCGCTGTCTTCGTGGCCAGAAGGGAGCGTCCAACGCCATCCTTCCGACTCGGTCGTTGGTGGCAGGTTCCCCTCACGGGGTGCGGTCAGCCAAGCTCTTCCTGCACCCGCTGCTGCAGCGTGCTCAGTCCAGAGCGGATTGCACTACCTTTTCGACATTTGTCGACGATACTGTTTTGCGTTCAGAGGGACCGCAGAATAAGGCAAAGACTCGCATGGTCACTTCTGCTACTGAGTTCAAGCAGGGTTTGGACACCATGCGGTTGGTGGTCTCTAAGACGGCGTTCATTTCTAACGCGGTCAGCTTGGGCAAGAAGTTGGCCAAGAAGCTCCGTCGTAAGTCGTTCCCAGTTCAGTATTGTCTGGAGGCGGTAGACCTTGGTGTTGATGCTACTGGCGGTGGACGGAGGACGGTTCCCAAGTCTCCCCAACGCGCTGCTAACGCTGCTCGCCGTGCTGCTCGTCTGCAGCGTTTTCGGCGTCATGCGCGGCTCCGCAAGGTCTCGCAGGGCCTGTGGAAGACTGGAGCTTTGCCGCAGGCCGCGTATGGACATCAAGTTCACGGCCTTGCACCCTACCAGCTCCTTCGCCTTCGACGTCGGGCGGCCACGGCAGGGGCAGGCCCGTTCAAGGGCAGGTGCTTGACCAGCACATTAGCCATCCTGTATGGTCAGAAAGACCCCGCCTTGGAGCTGAGACGCGAGCTTCTGGCCGAATATATTACGGTCCGGCGCCTTCACCCTGAGTTTCATCAGAGAGTGGAAACATCCTGGCCTAAAGTTCTTCGCCGCCTGGAGATCGCTGGGCAGTCAGGGCGATGGCGATTGGTCAAGGGGCCAGTGTCGGCAGTGATTGACACGTTGCTTGATGCTGGCTGGAAGCCCTCCTCAGCTACTTCCTGGTGGCGCCCAGAGCAGGGTGGATTAGCTGAGTGGAAGATTCCCACATCGTCTCTGGATGGATTTTCTGGCGATGAGATGGAGTTGGCGGCGTGCTTGAAGATGAGATGCTTGATTTTCACGCTCAGCTTTGGTCTCAAGCTTCTGAGCACGAGGCAGCGGAAGATCTCGCTGGAGGTGCTGATCTCTATTGGGCTCGCCGAGAGTTTGTCCAGTTCTCGCAGAATGGGGATTGCGACAAGGCTGGCCAGACACTTTGCGCGGCTGCTGGAGCGCAGTGGCCGCGCGCGCGCCAGTTCCCGACGGGCACGGAGGAGCAGCAGCTGTGCCCCAGGTGTCTGAAGGCGCCCGAGACTCTTAGGCACCGCGTCTGGGAGTGCGAGAGTAATAAGGATCGTGACGATTATTCCTTGTCCGCCCCCCTAGTGTCTCAAGCACTCGTCAATTGTGATATGAACCCTGCCTTGTGGCTTAGAGGTGTTCCCCCGACCGACCATAATCACCCTGAGTTTGTGGACCCACCCGAAGCGTAGGGTTTGAAACCTCTCGGTTCGACGTCCCTGATCGATCTGTCCTCTGTTTGCTCTGACCCCCTGGTCGTTTTTGGGGACGGTTCGGGAAGGCGTTTTTCCTCCGACCCTCGTCGCCGACGTTGTGGCGCGGCTGCTGTTTCGGTCAGGAGAATCCCAGGGACGTCGACGTGGGAAGTGGTCGGGGGCGTTTCTGGAATTTTAGTGGGAAGAGCCCAAACGGTCCCCCGCTCAGAGTTGCTGGCTTTCGCCGTGTGCCTTGAGGGCACCACTGGCCCCGTTCATTATGTCACGGACCACTTTCCCTTGATTACTGGGTGGGGGCGGGGTCGGGTCAGTGCTGCGGGCGGGAGGAACTGGGATTTGTGGCTCCGAATTTAGACCGCTCTCGCTTCGCGAGGTGATGGTTTAGTCACCTTGGAGCGGACGGCTTCTCACTTGGACACTGAAGCTGGGGGCCTGACAGCCCACCAGGTTTTCCTCAGGTCTGGAAACCAACTTGCGGACCGCGCGGCCTCAGAGGCTGCGGAGCGTTCCTGGCATCCTTCGGCACGTTCGGACCCTCGAACCGATTTCTGGGATGCTCAGACCGCCCTAATTAGAAGACGCGCGCGGCGCGCCCTGATCGACTCGTCCTTGGCCGACCCCAGGAAGGCCCGCCCTGCTGTTGCGCCCTTGGAAAGAGCGAGGCAGGGGTCGAAGTTGGATCGGGCGCTTCGCGTCCCCCCTCATAAATTCGTGACGTTCGGCAGAGCGCTTCGTTGCAGGATTTGCGAGGTGCAGTGTGGTAAGAAGGACCTCTTAAAGGTCTCCAAGGCGCATTGCATCCCTGCTGCGGGGGTGGATTCGTTCCCCTCCGACGTTGTCGTTGAGGTCCCTGGACCCGTCACGTTTTCTGGAGCGGTCTTGCATCCGTCCCATAAGCTTGCGCTT